AAAAGGTAGGATGAAAATAAAAGTTTTCCAAAGCCGCAAAAAGGTTTCAACCCCTTAAGGAATTCAAAAACTCGCTATTTCGACAGTTCTTACATTCCCTCCATACAGGGGTTAAAAAACATTGTTCTATTTTTTTCCAATGAAACAAATAGATAAAATTTTTTCAACCGCTGTAGGGGGGAATTCACAGAATTTCAGAAATGGGCTATTTTCTCCTTCCCTTCTCCTCTCCTTCTCCTTCTCCTTCTCCTCTTCTCACCTTCCCTTCTTCTCATCCTCTTCTAAACCTTCTCCTTCTTCTCATCCTTTTTTTCTTCTTCTCATCCTTCTTTTTCTCACCCTTTCTCCTTCTTCTCATCCTTCTTCTCATCCTTCTCCTTCTTCTCATCCTTCTTCTCATCCTTCTTCTCACCTTCTCCTTCTTCTCATCCTTCTCCTTTTTTCCATCCTTCTCCTTCTCCCTTCTTCTCACCTTCTCCTTTCCCTTCTCTCCTTCTCCCCCTTTCTCCTTTTTCTCATCCTTCTCCTTCTTCTCATCCCTTTCTCCTTTTTCTCATCCTTTCCTTCTCCTTCTTCTCATCCTTCTCCTTCTCCTTCTTCTCATTCCTTCTCCTTCTTCTCATCCTTTCCCCTCCTTCCCCTTTCTTTCATCCTTCTCCTTCTCCATCTTCTCCCTCACCTTTCTCCTTCTCCTTCTCTCTCCTTCTCCTTCCCCTTTCTTCTCATGTCAGCTACTGTTTTAAGGATTGTTTATTGATATGTGCAATATTTGGTGCAATGGAACACCTGTATTATGTGAGTGGCCATTGTATAATATAATAAATTGTCCGATTTTTAACCCCTTGATGCCGAGCGCACGTAAATATGTGGCCTCTCCACGTCTGGGCCTTGACGCCGAGCGGCCGCATATTTGCATGCAATTAAAAAATACATATGTGCTGAGAGCGTGCGCCCTGCGCACTCCCAGCGCACGTGTCTGTGACTCACAGAAAGATCCCGATCTCCCCTTTCGATTGGGACCTTTTCCGATCATGTGACTGCCATGACGGCAAATCACAGTAGTCACATGACCCTAAAACCCCACCCCACCTTCTGAAACTCTTAAAGGGCCGGGAGGCGCCGGCGCCAAGAGGTTAAACGATAAAAACCCTATTGGTTTGCCTATATTTTTCCTATATGTGTGCTCGGTAGTGGAGAAAGAAGGATCTGAATCAGTAGTGAAGGAGAGTCTTGATAGAGGTCTTGCCACTAATCTATGTCCATTTAATGCAGGGGTGTCAAACTGGCGGCCCTCCAGCTGTTGTGAAACTACAAGTCCCATCATGCCTCTACCTTGGGAGTCATGTTTGTAACCAGGTTTAGAGAAACCACGGGACCCCATACAGCCAACTTGACAGGGCCCTTCACCCCAAGAAAAACAACGTTGATGCTACTTGAGTGCCAGAGAGTGTAAAGTTGTATCAAAGTATTAGGGGAGGACTGACCATTTGAGCACTCAGGCACTACCCGAGGGCCCAGGGTCAGTAGGGGGCGCCATGAAATGCCCCTGGTACATTTAATAGGCTTTTTTGGGTGTGCTTTGAGTGTGATCCCCTATTGCCCGGGGGCCCCATGAGTTGTCAGTCCACCCCTGGTCGCACCCCTCCAAAGTCACATCTGAAGTCGCATTAAAGTTTCACTCGTCCTACGTTTGACCAAACTTTGATGCGACTTTGGTGGTGACTTTGGATAGGTACGACTTAGATACGACTTTACACTCTCTGGCACTCAAGTAGCATCGAAGTTTCATCAAAGTCACACCCATCCAAAGTGGCATCCAAGTTGCACTCATCCAAAGTCACAGCAAACTGGCATTAAAGTCAATACTTCTTATTGGCAAAAAACAAAAAAAGCATAACACACCAAAAACACATCAGAAACACGTCTTCAAAAACACAAAATGCACCGTGAAATAACACAATCCACAATCCGCATAGATGTGAACCTGGTTTAAGGAGACGGTGATGCCCTTCTGAAAAAGTCATTTGGAAATAGCTTGAATCTTTCAGTAAGTGGTTGTCCAGTTTACATTAGAAAATGGGGTTAAAGCTGGTTTATTCCTTTTAAATGCAAGCTCAGCTCCAAACAGCATATAACGGGCAGACTATAAAATATCTGAAAATCAATGCCTCGCTACCTGCTCACATCCTTTCAGGAAGGATGCAGCTCCGAGTCTGCCTTTTATAACTCCGGCTAAGTGCAAACTGCACAGCACAGACATTAGCCGTGTCCCCCGGGGAAAGGAGAATAAAAGTGATCTCTCTGCAACATTATCTTTACATTTTCCTTACCTTAGCTGTCCTTTCCGGCCAATGAATAATTATAAGCAATGCCACTGCAATGAATTTGATTTACTTTTTTTTTTTTAATGAATGTTGTATGAAGACCTAAGGTGGAAATGGTTATTTTACTGTTTTTGTTTTTTTTTTTTATCCTATTTTTGTCAAATAGAAATGTTTTCACTTCATAAATATGCTTGTCCAGGTCTCCATTTCCATAGATCAGTTCTACATTTTTGGATATAAAATTTTTCAACCATTGAAATGTGTCACATTTATAAGGTAGATAAATCAGAATTTCACAACAAATGCAAGACTAGTACTTTTTTTTTTTTTCAAATCCTTTTTTTTTTCAGCATTCATAAAGTCCTAAAGAGAGAAATGACCTCACATAAGAGAGTCATTACATCAAGACACAGTCCAAATGAGATCATTAAGTGCAGGATGACAAGCAGCAAATGAAGTAACCAAATGATGGGAGGTGCAAACCCTCTAAAGACAATATTAATAAACACTTATTGGGATTTTTTTTTACCAAAGACGACAACTCATGGAGAGCCCCCGGGCAATAGGGGATTATGGGGCCCCTGTGTCCTTGCCCAAACTCAAAAAAGCCTATGAAAAAGGCACCAGGGGCATCTCATGGGGCCCCCTACTGACCCCAGGCCCTAGGGCAGTGCCCGAGTTTCCAAATGGTCAGTCCGCCCCTGCCAAAGACATGTAGCAGAATACATTTTGGCCTAAATATATGAAGAAATTGTATTTGTTTTAATGGATGTTTTATAGCAAATAGTAAAAAATATTGTTTATTTTCTCAAAATTGTTTTTTGGTTTATAGCACCGAAAATAAAAAAAAAACCCAGTGGTGATCAAACCAATTAATATACACTTACTGGTATTTTATTTTTTTTTTTTTACCAAAGACATGTAGTAGAATATATTTTGGCCTAAATTTATGAAGACATTATTTTTTTTTTTAATAGATACGTTTTCTAGCAAACAGTAAAAAATATAATTTTTTTCTCAAAATTGTTGGTCTTTTTTCATTTATAGCACAAAAAGCAAAAAAAAAAAAAACAGTGGTGATCAAATACCACCAAAAGAAAGCTCTATTTGTGTGAAAAAAAATGATATGAATTTCATTTGGGTATAGTGTTGCATGACCGCGCAATTGTCAGTTGAAGGGGCGCAGCTTTATATAGCAAAAAGTGGCCTGGTCATAAAGGGGGGGGGGGGTACATTTTCCGGAGGGCAAGTGGTTAACCAAAGGATTTACCTCCATTCCTGACCAGACCATTTTTTGCTATACGACGCTGTGCTACTTCTTTCCTGGAGTCAATTTTTCAATCAAAAATCCAAATGAATTAAGTCCAGAGGTTTTTTTTAGCTCTGCTGTTACTTTGCTTTGGTTGTGAATTTAATTGTTTGATCACGTGGACTAATTTTTATTCCACTTACATAGTCATTCTCAGTTAATTTCTTTACTATGTCAGGACTTCTGTGCCCAAGTCCTCTGTGCCATGTGTGAATGCAGTTTGAATGTTTTTCCTTCTTGGCAGTATTAACGACCATATCGCAGTTCAGCTGATACAGTTCATCTGTCATTTTAGCCTTTGCAAGTAAGATATCCCATACTACTGTCACCTTGGAAGGTCACTATATTGCCTTGTTTTGTGAGATTCTTCACTGACAAAAGATTAGTTTCAAGAGCAGAGCCATACAGGACATTTTTCACAGGTATCTTTCTGGTGACACTCCGTCAAATAGGACAGTAAAGAAAACCATCTCCTATTCCTTCTGATGCCAATATTTGCCCATTAGCTGTGGTGATTTTTGTTCTCCTTTACTTTGGTCAAATTGAATAAAGAAATTTCTGTCATTTGTCATGTGACTCGTAGCTCCTGAATCAACACACCATGCCTGCAAAAATGAGGTGCAACTTTTGGATTGAAAAACATATTCACTATCTGAAGAAAAATTTGTTTCTTCCTTCACACTTTTGGCCTTTTGTAGTTTAGTTTGTTTTTACATTCTAGCTTTCCAGATTCTGCATTCTGCTTTTAAATGACCTTGTTTCCTGAACACAAAACATTCACATGTTTCTTGTTACTGGTTTTATTCCTTTTTTTTTCGCCTAAAGCAGACTCTGTGACGGAAGCACCATCATTATTAATGCTTTCTGTTTTACGCTTATATTCATCCATAAGCCTGCTCTTAACATATTCCAGTGTCAATTCATCATCTGGACGTGCATCAAGCTCTGTGACAAGTGTTTCATAGCTTTCTGGTAAGCCACTAAGTAATAGGGCTTTGACATTCAATCCTTTTATTTCTTCTCCTATACCTCTCAGGCATTCAGCCATTTCCAAGGTGTGCCTTATGTAACCCTGCATTTCCTGGCCTATCATCAGCTTGGTTTTGTATAACTTTCTATTCAAATACAGTTTATTGCTAAGATTAGCTCTTTCATGCACCTTTTGTATTCCTTTCTACATTTCTTTAGCAGTTTCACACTTACATATATGTATGATTTGATCATCTTCTATGCTAAGAGAGATTGTGACCTGAGCTTTCTGATCTTCCTCTATCCACTCATCTGAAGGGTGTTCTGGCCTGACTTTATTTATACATTTCCATGTACTTTCTCCTATTAGCAGCATTTTCATCTTGAATTTCCAAGACCGGTAGTCCTGTTTTGCCAGATTAGAAATCTGTTGGAAATTCTGTATATAGCCCTACAGAACAGACAATGCATAGTCCATGTGTGCTTTTCTGCTTCACTGCAACAAGAAACAGGACATTTTATTCAGAGAAAAGACATAGTATACCATAGATGCAGCTACAAACCTATAAACACTGCCATCTACTGGATGAAGAATGTATCTCTACTGAATACTGATGTAGTTGTTGCACAAAATAGGTGAACACTGTATTCCATCATTGTCTTATAACAGTGCTTACCCATTACTGACTCTATTCATTACCACCAACCTGTATACAATATACAGGACAAAGTTAAGTTGGCAGTTGAAGAGGACAGGAAAGAGGTGGGGGTGGACTGAAAAAGGGGATCATATGAAACCCTGAAAAGGGGGAAGGAAAGTGTGCAAGAAACAGCTTAAAGGTCAAGGATGGTTGACTTAGGAAGAATTTGAGAGTTGTTCCTGGCCTGTTAAGAGATGCTTATCCTGGTCCTTGTAGGTAAACTAATGCCAATAATATCAGTTCGTATTGAAGACATTCAAGTTATTATTTTGAGCATATGTTCAATCATTTATCCTTTTGATGACTTCAGTTTTTTTTTTTATCTGTAGCCAGACCTTAGGAGCAGCTTCTGCTCACCAACAGGCTGGGATACAAGCCTTAGCTGCTTTCAAGAGATACCTCAGGTTAGAATATCTATCTTTTTAATTGTGATTATTATGAAGAAGGAAAAAAAGAAGGTTCTTGTGGGACATACATTTTTTTTATGGAAAGAGTTAGTTTATTTCAGGTTTGTCAGAGATTACAATTTAGTGTTCCCACTAGTCATGCAGTACAAGGTTACATGTTAGGCCCTGTTTAGGTTCATCCTACCAGTGTATTAGATTATGGGAATAAACTGTATCAAAACTGAAATTCCAGATCATCCCACAGATACATAGAAACATAGAAGAGGGGGGACTACATAATAAAGTCCAAGTGGTTCATTGAGCAGTTACTGTACTGCTGGGGTGACAGTATGTAAAAAAAAAAAAAAAAAAAAAATGTTATTTTATATATATATATATATATATATATATATATATAGTGGGGATCGAAAGTTTGGGCACCCCAGCTAAAAATTTGTATTCATGTGCATAAAGAAGCCAAGGAAAGATGGAAAAATCTCCAAAAGGCATCAAATTACAGATTAGACATTCTTATAATATGTCAACAAAAGTTAGATTTTATTTCCATCATTTACACTTTCAAAATAACAGAAAACAAAAAAATGGCATCTGCAAAAGTTTGGGCACCCTGCAGAATTTATAGCATGCACTGCCCCCTTTGCAAAGCTGAGACCTGCCAGTGTCATGGATTGTTCTCAATCATCGTCTGGGAAGACCAGGTGATGTCAATCTCAAAGGTTTTAAATGCCCAGACTCATCTGACCTTGCCCCAACAATCAGCACCATGGGTTCTTCTAAGCAGTTGTCTAGAAAACTGAAACTGAAAATAGGGGAGTCTGTTCCTTGCACTGCAGGTGCATTTTTTTTTTTCTTTTATCTGAGGAAGGGGAGGAGAGGTTTTCTCAGTTAAGCACACCCTTCAGCCTGCATACCTAAGCTAAGGGCAGATGGATTCCAAGAAGTAAATGCTACAAGAATCAACTGCCCTTACTCAAGATGGCCATGGCTAGAAATGCTAGGGGGTTCCATGTGGTTTCTCAAAAAAAATAAAGCATATAGACACAGCTGGATGGGTGAGCTTGTTTTGAATGTTAAAAAGGAATTAAATAACACTTTCATTTGGTGGTGCTTGGATACAGATTAGTTCTGCTGTAATTGCTTGTAACATTTTTCATGTTTTTGATGCATTTAGGGAGAATTTGAAAAGCATTGCCTAAAACTCTCAGAACCATTATAAACAGGAATTTTGGCAGTAAAAAGCAAATAACACATAAAAAGTGATTTATGGTGTTAGCCAAGAATAAATACAGGAGGTAGAGATTGTAAAATAGTATTTTATTTGTCATCCCTTCTTCAGATATAATGAGAGATAAAAGGTATCACTTAGGCAATACTTTTACCTTCTCTACCTTCTCTGTATTTTTTGTTTTTTATTGTTTTTTTTTTTAAGCAAATATTTCCAGAAGTCCTGATTGTTTAAAGTGTCACTAAAGCTCAACACAAAATGTACTTTTCCTTACCTTCTCCAGCTTACATGTAAATCTGTCTGGTTAGCTATGGTTGCTTCTGAATAAAGAACAAATTTAAAGCAGAACTCCAAGCCAACCACTAAATACATAGATAAGATACATACAGTTAGGTCCATAAATATATTTGGACACAAGCACACTTTTTATACTTTTGGCTCTGTATGCCACCAGAATAAATTAAAATGAAACAATCCAAATGAATTTGAAGTGCAGACTTTCAGCTTTAATTCAAGGGGTTGAACATAAATATCAAGAACAAATTTTAGGAACTGCATCCACTTTTATACACAGTCCCTCCTTTTTTAGGGGCTCAAATGTAATTGGACAATTGAATATAATAATAAATAAAATGTATATTTTTAATATTTTGTTGAGAATCCTTTACTGGCAATGACTGCCTGAAGTCTGGAACCCATGGACATTACCAAAGACTGGGTTTCCTCCTTTCTGATGCTTTGCCAGGCTCTAACTGCAGCTGTCTTCAGTTGTTCTTTGTTTGTGGGTCTTTCTGCCTTTAGTTTTACCTTCAGCAAGTGAAATGCATGCTCAATTGAGTTGCGATCAGGTGATTGACTTGGCCATTGCAGAATATTCCACTTCTTTTCCTTCAAAAGCTCCTGGGTTGCATTTGCAGTTTGTTTTGGATCATTATCCATCTGTACTGTGAAGCGCCGTCCAATCAACTTTGCTGCATTTGGCTGAATCTGGGCTGACAGTATATCTGTAAACACTGCAGAATTCATCCGGCTGCTACTGTCTTCTGTCACATCATCAATATAACACCAATGACCCAGTGCCACTGGAAGCCATGCATGACCATGCCATCACACTGCCTCCACCATGTTTTACAGATGACGTTGTGTGCTTTGGATCATGAGCTGTTCCAAGCCTTCTCCACACTTTTTTCTTCCCGTCATTCTGGTACAGATTAATCTTAGTTTCATCCATCCAAAGAATACTTTTCCAGAACCGGTCTGGCTTTTTTAGATGTTTTTTGGCAAAGTCTAATCTGGCTTTTCTATTCTTCAGGCTTATGAATGATTTGCACCTTGTGGTGAACCCTCTGTATTTGCTCTCGTGAAGTCTTCTCCTGATTGTAGACTTTGACAATGATACGCCCACCTCCTGGAGAGTGTCCTTCACTTGTCTGGATGTTGTGAATGGGTTTTTCTTTACCATAGAGAGGATCCTGCGATCATCCACCACTGTTGTCTTCCATGGACGTCCATGCCTTTTCATGTTGCTGAGCTCACCAGTGAGTTCTTCTTTCCTCAGAATGTACCAAACTATTGATTTTTTCCGCTCCTAAGGTTGCTGCGATCTCTCTGATGGATTTGTTTCATTTTTGAAGCCTTAGAATGGTATGTTTCACTTGCATGGATGGCTCCTTTGAACGCTTGATGTAGGTTCACAGCAATAGATTCCAAATGTAAATACCGCACTTAGAATCAACTCCAGACATTAACTGCTTAATTGATGAAGAAATAATGAAGGAGTAGCCCACACCTGGGCGTCAAACAGCTTTTGATTCAATTGTCCAATTACTTTTGGTCCCTTGAAAAAGATGGGATGGCTACTGTTAAGAGTTGTAATTTCTAAACCCTTCCTCCAATTTGGATGTACATACCCTCAAATTAAACCTGAGAGTGTGCACTTTCAGCCCATATCCATTATATAACTATAGCTTGAATATGTTTTGGTAAATACCTGAAAAAACTAAAATTGTGCCTGTGTCCAAATATATATGGACCTAACTGTATGGGGGATGTTTTACCTGCCAAACAATCTGTAATTTTGCTCATCCAGTCCTGAGATTTACACTGCTCTGCCCTGCATATTCCTGTCTAGCAGGGGAAAAAGACCTTATCTTTCTCTCGTGCGCTGCGCTTTCTCCAACAAGTCCCCTTTCCCACCTCCACCCTGTAACTGTACAGTGAAAAAGAAGCAGCTCACAATGAGCTCACCTCTCCATCACTCTGCTCTTTCTACAATATATACTCTCTGTACAATATATATGTATATATGCACACATGTAAAGCGCTGCGTAAACTGATGGCGCTATATAAGTACCAGTAATAAATAAAATTATACATTCACATCAGTCCCTAACCTCAAGGGGTGTACAATCTAAGGTCCCTAACTCACATTCATACATACACATACCAGGGCCAATTTAGACAGGAGCCAATTAACCTACCAGCATGTCTTTGGAGTGTGGGAGGAAACTGGAGTACCTGGAGGAAACCCACACAGGCACAGGGAGAACATGCAAACTCCAGGCACGTGGTGCCGTGGTTGGGATTCAAAACAACAACCCTAGTACTACCAGGCAGAAGTGCTAACCATTTAGCCGCTGTGCTGCCCATGAGACTTATTTACAAGAGTTATTTTTAATTTTTTGCCCATCCAAAGGCTCTCTCCTGCTAACACTTTACTTCATTTGTTATGTTAATAATACATTTTGTAATAGTTTGTATTATTCATTTATTGTTAAAAAAAAATGGCTGATTTGGCCAATTTAATACAAATGCTACGCAGCTTGATTATTGAAGAAGGAGAAATAGGAAGAGGCCAAAAAACAGACAAAACATTTAGTCAAGGCTTTGTATAATTTGGTGCGTTCGCTGCCATTGTTGGAAATTTGGCATACATGTGTCGACAGTCAATTCTCTGCTTGTAAACTTGCCTGGGAAAGGAAATCGTAGCCATGGCACATATCACAACCCCCTACTGCTACGGAGAGCTGACAATTCATCAGTGATATTGCCAGCTACACAAGGCGATTCTTTGGTTCCCTGGGCTCCAGCCATCCTAGAACAGCAACGGTAAAACTTTTAATGCCATAGACTTCTGTGCGCCAAAAACTAATTTTATAGCCTGTATCTAATCCCAAGAACAAACATGTCATGTATTGCAGTTTACTAGTCTGTACAATGGGGAGTTTTCATTTTCTTTCTCTCTTTTTTTTTTTTATTTTTTGTACTTATCAAACAGATTTAACAAAACATTTTCAAAGGCAAATTCATCACTTGAGTACCAACTTACCTATTAAAGCAGTATTAAACCCAAAAGCAAACAGTTATTGTATTGCAGCTTACTAATTCTTAAAGTGTTACTAAACCCACAACAGTAAAATCAGTCTGTATATGCAGTAAAGCATGCTTGTTATACTCACTATGGAACCGAAGGGATTAATCATTTACATTATGTAATAGGGCTGTTTGATCCTGTCTTCTCTGATCCTCCCCTTCTTTTACTGTCCCAAATCCATCTGCTGATAGAACAGAGTCTTGGGGGCAAGCTGCACATGCTCAGTTTGGTGTGTATTGCTAAGAGTTTTTTTTTTTTTTTTTGTTGTTCTTAGGAGAGTGCATGTAATCAGCACAGGGCCAATCAGCACAGGGCCAATCACTGTCCAGACAGAGGATCAGATGTCCTGCATCCTCATAGGACAATAAGGGGAGAATGAAAGCTTTAACATGTGCTCTGCTGGACACTGAAGTTACAAGACTGCTATATACTGCTGGTGGAAAAAGGTATTTAGCGGTTTATATTTACGTACGGGTGCTGGAATCGGCGGCAAATTTGAAATTTTCAAAAAATTTCATTTTTGCTGTCATTGCTGTTTCAATGCATTTCACATATATTTTGTCCCTACTGCTTTGTCCTGCGCCCTGCCTGCATTTTGTCTGTTCTTTCTGCCTGGAAACTTAGAAAAGTCCATGGCGTCCAAAAAGCATCCCTTTACGTCAAAAACGGTTTTAGAACAGCGAGAGAACATCGATAGTAAATCAGAACCACTTGCAGAATTGAGTGATAATGATTCGTGGGGGAAATTCGTCATCAGACACTGAAAACGATTTTGCGACTTTGCTCAGCGATGTGCGAATTTGCCTCTGTATTTCAAATTTCAGTGTTTTTGGTTTGATTATATTATTTAATTAAATTTATTATTATTATATTATTATTTTTTTATGATTATTTATTAAATTATAATTTATGATTTCGTGTTTCAAATTTTATCATACCCGAGATGTTTACTAGACTCTTGTTCGGACAGATTTCAGTGAGTTATTCCTAAAAATTACAGCCTACAATAAAAAACTACATATTTCCATGCAAAAAAATGGTACCGCTTTCAGCACAAAAAATCGGAAAGAATCATACCGCCAGGGAGGTTAAATACACTAAAGGAATTATGTGCCATAAATTCCTTGAACTTTGACCAGTATTCCATGATAGGACAGACTCCGTCATTAACACATTCATATATAGATTGGTATGGTGAGTAGCTGAAATGTGGCTTTCCTCAACCCACCAAATGTAAATACTGTTCATGGGATTATCTGCAGGTCCTAAATAGGTCAGGAAATATGCACAATGCCATAGAACGTCCTTATCGCCTCATTGTTGAAATATCCTTAAGACGTATTGATGAAGAAGCAATTCTGGTATTTCACTGTTTGCCATCTGGTGAAATTTCAATCTTAAGAAAAACTGTACTTGTGCCTTATTTTATTTTCTGATCAGTCTGTATTGCCCACAACCAAAAAACTAAAATTGATTGCTAAGGGGAAACCATTCAGGGTCTGACTCCCTTCTTTGCCTATCCCTCCACTGAGTTCAAAATCCTAACTGAGGAAGTCACATGGTATTGTGATGCAACGCGTCGGCCCAACGTAGTGACGCACTTCCAGCGTGGCGGCCATCTTGGTACACCTTTGTACACCCATGCATATTCATTACATCCAAAAGCAGGTTGGCTCTGAGGAAGAGGTTGTGTCCTCGAAATACGTTAGCCAGTTGGTCATCCAGGGTTCCATCATATGGACTCAGATGTTGTTTGGATCATACACCTTGTTCAGTTTGACATGCCTGTGTTATTATGTCCATTGTGAGTACGATACCTATTTTTGTTTCTTTAATAAATAATTTTAAACGATAATGCACTAGGTCAGTGCGCCCTTTTTCTGTTTCTCCATTTGTATCCAGGAGATTTATATACAGTGGGAGCAGTCGTTTGGAGTGATACTGACCTAGAGGATCTGTGAGAGGGATCCTATTAAACGTTTTGACTCGTAAGGGTCGAGTCTTTAAGGTGAGAGGCTGATTCAGCCGGCGGTCAGATGATCTTCTGCCCAACTACCAACCCACTTCTTTACACAAATATCAGCACTAGTGTTTTTCATCTGAGTGTGATCATTCTTGTGTTTGGACTTTATACGCACGGAAATAGACTTTGTGTGCAGTTGTACTTACTTGGTTCACATATATGCACATTGTTTTGATTTATTCACTATATGGGGTATTTATAAGTATATTTATGTGTTTATGTACACCTTTCATATATATATATATATATATATATATATATATATATATATAAATATACTTTAGAAGCACGTATTGTTTGCAGTTGAATTTATTTTTTCAGTTGGAAGGATTTTGTTTTCACCATCACTATTGGAGCTTAGATTCGCTCACACTATTGTATTATTAGTTATTTGCATGATTTCACCTAAGTGCATCACTATTTCACTTATTCAATATTTTATTTACCAGGTTTTTATTTGTCCACTTTTATATAGGAATATATGCGAGTAGCGCTACATTTTTTTCCATACTTAAAATCCTAACTATAACATAGGAACAATTGTGTACTGTCCGTGATACTTTTTTTATTTGCACTAACATACAATTTTGAGGACGAGCTTTCGGGGAATGTCCCCTTCTTCGGGTCTAAGCAGTACTCTTGATTTGGTTAATGTTGGTAGGGTCCAATGATGTTAGGGTTTCAAACAAAGACTGCTTTTTTATCCTGATAGTTACCCTTTTTCCATACAGTTTGTGAATGAGGTTATTCCTTAATCTCTCGCTGGTGCGTCTGCAAAGTCCTTCTGCATAAGGAGAGTTGATTGTATTTACGCAAGGATTTTTAATCCGGAGGCCTTGTGATATGAGATTCCACTTTTTGCATCTTGAGAGAAAGAAAATATCACTGTTGATCTGTGTTTCCTTTGTGATTAGGTTGGTTAACTGCTTGTTTATGCGGTTATATGCAGTATTTTCCACTTTGCTTGAGGTGATTGTAGCCGTATTAGTGCATTTGCGATAGGAACAGTTGAGTACTGTCCGTGATCCTTTTTTTATTTGCACTAACATACAATTTTGAGGACAAGCTTTCGGGGAATGTACCCTTCTTCAGGTCTAAGTAGTACTGCTTAGACCTGAAGAAAGGGACATTCCCCGAAAGCTTGTCCTCAAAATTGTATGTTAGTGCAAATAAAAAAAAGAATAAAAAAAGTATGACGGACAGTACTCAATTGTTCCTGTCGCAAATGCACTAATACGGCTACAATCACCTTAACTATAACATACAAAGTCATCCACAACTCTACTATGAGCTAAATTGCCAAATTCATCTCAGAATATCGTCAAGCTTCATCCCTCTAATCCCAGGATCTCCTGATCTCTAACTCCCTCATGACTTCCTCAAATGCTCACCTCCAGGTGGTCACCAGATCTTCTCCCATCTTACAGAACTCCTACCTCTAAAATTGATTGCTAAGAGGCAACCATTCAAAGTCTTCTACCATTCTTTGCTTACCCCTCCAGTGGCTTCAGAAGTTCAAAATCTCAACTACAACATAGAAAGCATCCACAACTCTGTCCTGAGCTACATTGCCAAATTCATCTCAAAATATCACCTGAACCATCCATACCTTTCCTCCCAGGAACTCCTGATCTTAAACTCCTTCATGATCTCCTCCTCAAATGCTCACCTTTGGGACTTCTTCAGATTTTCTCCTATCCTATGGAACTCTACCTCTAAAATTAATTGCTGAGGGGCAAATGTTCAGCATCTTCTACCATTCCTTGCCTATCCCTCCACTGGCTTCAAAAGTTAAAAATCCCAACTACAATATAGAAAGCATCCACAATTCTGCCCCAAGCTACATTGTTAATTCTGTCAAAAAAATGACTAGAACCATCCACCCTGCTCCTCCTAGGACCTCCTGATCTGTAACTCCCTCATGGCCTCTTCAAATGCTTGCCTCCAAGCCTTTTCTAGAGCTTCTCTGAAGTCTTTGGAACTCCTACCCCTAAAACAGATTGTTAAGGAGCAACCATTCAGTGTCTGCTACCATTCTTTGTCTGCCTCTCCACTGGCTTCAAAAGTTCTAAATCTCAACTTTAACATAGAAAGCATCAACAACTCTGCCCCGAGCTACATTGCCAAATTTGCTTCAAAATATCACCCAAACCAATAATCCCTCTCCTCCCAGGACCTCCTAATCTCTAACTCCCTTATGACCTTCTCAAATGCTCACCTCTAGGACATCGCCAGATCTTCTACCAGCTTATAGAACTCCTACCTCTAAAATTGATTGCTAAGAGGCAACCATTCAAAGACTTCTACCATTCTTTGCTTACCCCTCCAGTGGCTTCAGAAGTTCAAAATCTCAACTACAACATTTAAAGCATCCACAACTCTGTCCTGAGCTACATTGCCAAATTTATCTCAAAATATCACCTGAACCATCCATACCTTTCCTCCCAGGAACTCCTGATCTTAAACTCCTTCATGATCTCCTCAAATGCTCACCTTCAGGACTTCTTCAGATCTTCTCCTATCCTATGAAACTCCTACCTCTAAAACTTATTGCTAAGTGGCAACTTTTCAGCATTTGCTACCATTCTTTGCCTACCCCTCCACTGGCTTCAAAATTTAAAAATCCCAACTACAAGATAGAAAAAATCCACAACTCTGCCTTGAGCTACATTGCCAATTCTGTGTAAAACATTTTTAGAACCATCCACTCTGCTCCTCCTAGGACCTCCTGATCTCTAAGATTTTTTTTTTTTTTTTTTTTTTGTTATTTGTAATGCTATTTGCTATTTGAAGAAAATGCAGTTCTGCTTTTAAGCTTTCCTAACATTTGTGTATTCTCCCACCATTTGTATGGGATGCCACATGGTGTTATGGTCTAGTGCAAGATGACAATCTATATTCCAAAGTATTTGTTATGATGGCTTTAACTTATATACATCTGCAATGTGCAGACCTGGTTGGATTTAGTCCATTTAAGATCCAGCAATTTTAGATCTATGATCCACTTTGCATGTTAGCTTATTTGTCCTGCTTCACACCCACACACTGGACTGGGTCAAGTCCACCAGAGGTCGCTGAGGGGATGGGTCATTAGGGAAAAAATGTTCTTTATTAAGAATGCAATATACAGTATGGCTTTATGAATCCCAAATAGAAGTAAATGCTAACTGAATGACATTTAGCTTGCTGAATGCCATTTCTCATGGTGGCTTTTTTTATGTTGACAACAGGGGACCAT